TTGACTTGGTGTTGTCAGCACCACGCTCAGCCAGTGAGCAAATCGGCCATCCCTATGTGGGATCCGAACCCGGGGCCTTGGTGTTATCAGCACCGCACTCTCCCGAGTGAGCCACGGGCCGGCCCAGAAAAAAAATTTTTTGTGGTTGTCATTGCTTTTAAAGAAAAGAACATGGGCTTATGGTCAAAAATAGTATGATCTTGTGTAGGAGTTTTTTGCTCTATGGGCCTCAGTTTATTTATCTGTCAAATGGAAACAGGCATTCTATTCTGAATTTTATTCAGGTTAGGAAACCACATTGAAAATGCAAAACATGTTACGTTTAAAAAGTGAAGTCAAAGCTCTTTTATCTGGCATGGCCAGGAGATGGAGTGATTTGGGTAATCCAAAGTTTTAGTTAACAGAGAGTTAAGCCCATAGACTTAAATTAAGATGAACAATATTCAAAGAATTCTGAGAAAATTCTTTAAATTTTAATCTAACTCTAAAACTCATAGATAGTTTACTAGCTGGATATCCTACCTGGATAATCCAGAGGGCATTTTTAGGATCTTTGGATGCTAGAGCCAAACACTATTGCATTGATGAACAGAAAATTCTGGCTGAGAGCATGATGGTTATATTAGCCTTCCCTGGCCATTGACTATTAATCTGGAGGGCCCAGGTGGCTCTGGTCCTGGGTGTTTCAAGCAGCAGAAGTTAAAAATAATATTGCATTTACATGTTTTCCTTTGCTGTCTTCTCCAGGAGGTAGAGAGGCTGGGATCCCCTAAAAGGGTTTCTAGCACTTCTGTTTTTAACCCTTGTTCATAAAGCTGGGTGAGTGGGGGCTGTTTGACTTGGCTGGCTTCCAGTGTCAAAACTTAAGCATTCCTATCAGGGAGGCCTGTGCCTCCCCACATGCCCACATGGGGCTCACATCACTCTGTCTGACGGCAGCAAAGCAAAGCAAGCAGCACACAGCCTGGGAAGGACGAGGGACTGGCTCCTGCTAACCTGTTTGAGGCTGGGGGAGGCCCTCATTCCTCCGTGGGACCGCATGTGGCCATTCAGGGCAGGAAGGTTCTTGAACTCCTTCAGGCAGATGGAGCACGTCAGCTTGTTCTTGGCATCAAACTCCTCCCCAAACACTCCTTTGGGTTGGCCACTGCTGAAGGGTGGGGCCAAATGGAGAGGACATACACATTGAGGAAGGGGAAACAGCGATTTATCACAAGACCTCCTCCCCACACGAACCCATTTTATTCATCCAGTGCTCCATGTCCATGGCCCCACTTGTACTATTCCAGTACCCTCCATAGAACTAAGCCCAATTTACAGATGAAAAACTGAGGCTCAGAGAGGGAAAGGGCTTTCTCAAAGTCATGCAAGAATTGAACAAAACGTCTTTTTTCACTCCAGGCCTTCAGACACTGGGTTTTTCCCACCTATGGCTTATAACCTCCCAGGGTCAACTTGAACCCACCTCCTCCAGAAGCCTTCCCTTGGAGACACTTGTCTAAGCCCTCTGGCGCAGCCTCCATAGTGCACATTTCAGCAGTTTATCAGGTTCTGGCCATACCAATGAGAGGAGGAAGTAAGTCTGTACTATTCACTGCTGCATTCTCAAAGTCTAGCTCTATGCTTGGCACACACTAGGCACTCAATAAATATGCACTGACTGAATGAATGGACAGTGGACAGAACATGGGCTTTGGAGTCAATCCCAGCATTGTTACTTGCTTGATGTGTAATCTTAACCTCCCCAAGACTCAGTATTCTCATTTGTAAAATAGTAATAATAATAGCTAACAATTATTGGGTACTTACCATGTATAGGCATATGGTAATCATGCCCACCTTCACTGGGTTACTTTATGACACACAATATATAGTGCCTAGCACACAGTAAGTGCTCAAACACAACAGCTGCTATTATTATTTCTATTCCTTTCTTTAAAGAATTGACTTTGAATTTAGAAATAAATCATGAGAGACAACCCAGGAATACCTCCCAGTCTTCCCAAATACCAACAAGCCTCCACTCATCCTACCTTGACTCAGGGGACCCTGGCTGGGCTCTCCCATCAGGTAGGTGCATCTAATTTGGGGCCAAGCAGGACACCGAAAGAAAGAAGAAAGAGAAAAAAAATGTGTTTCTGAAGGAAGGAGACCTCAAACAGCAGGAACGCAGTTTACCCTTCTAGGACTCCTCCCGCTCTCACCTCTTGCTGACCCCGCTCATGTCCACTGACACCCTCGCTCTTCTGCACCTGACTTCTTTCCCTTAATTGCTCCTTGATTCGGGACCACCGCCCCACTCCTGGTGCTGCTACCAGCCACAACCCCCCCACCTTGTTCCTTCCTGTTTTCCCAGAGCACCCACTTTGGGCACAGGCTGGCTCCATTCCCAGGGACACAGAAAGAGTTGGACAACAAAGCATCAAGCTGGGAGATCTCCTTGCTGGAATTCTTTTTTTTACAGCCTTGGCCATGTCATCTTATTTTTACATTCACAAAGGCTCTAAGTTACCACCTGCTCAGAGCCCCAGACAAAACAAGGTCAAGGGGAAGTTCATCTCTGACCTTCTACCTCCATTAGAGCCTTCTGTCTGCCCAACCAGTTCCCATTTGCAGTCCCCTCCTTCCTAGACCCTAATGTCACATGAGTGTAGCACTTACTTAGAACATGCCAAGGCATGAACAGTGTCCAGCACGTAGTAGGCTGTTTTGTGGCCACATACTTTTGGGAACTAATCAAGAGTTAACCATGGCCCATAGGTTGAATCTGGCCCGCAGACATATCTTGTTTGGCTAGACTGTTTTTAATAATCCTGAATGAGAATTCCAGTGGATGGGATGTCTGTTCCCCAGTCTACCACAGTCACCACCACTCCCAAATGTCCCATACCAGATCATTTTGCTTATTCACTTTACCAGCCTGGATCCTCTGGGAAGCTAAGGTTTTCTTCCTTGCAACTACATGTGGTATCCCCTTTGGGGGACTCACAATGCATACTGGCATATTAAAGGAGCTGAGAAGCCCTGTGGTATGGAAACCTGTTTCACTTTAAGAAATCCCACATTAATTTATCTAGAGAATCCATTGTTTCCCTAGCAATATCTATTCAACATTCTGTGGAACTGCTGTTCTGAGCAATATACTTTGAGAAATTCAGATCCAAGGGGGGTGAGACACCCCCACTATGTGGTCGTCTGGCACCTGACTCAAGGTCTTGACATTACATGAATCATTTAGGACACGATACAGTATTGTGGCCATCTCCTTAGGAAGATTATAAGCTCCATGGGCAAAGGACTGAATCAAAATTGGTTTTGTATTCCAAGTGCCAGGCACAAAAATTGCCTAGCACATTCAGGCTAACGTTTGTGAAATGAATAAAGAAAAGGGTTGAAGGGGCTGGAGAGAGGACTGGGCACTGCAAAGACTCAGCCATGGCTGGCTGTAGCACACTAAGATACTGGCGTGAGAAACTTCCACCATGAGAATACCTGGGGCCACATGGCACTGGGAGACAGCTGCTGATGCTGAGACCCCATGTTGTTGAGGTGGATCCCACTGGGGGACAGGAGCGGTCGAGGGGTGAGGGCACTGCTGACTCGGGTCAGGTCTGAGCTTGCTGGGTCTCCCATTCCTGTATCAGGAGGCCCCAGGTCCCCATGGGGGCTCAGCATGGCCTGGGCCTGCCTGTCGCTAGAATAAGTCTTCAGCTGACTGTCCTCACGCTGCTGGTGCTGGGGCAGGTGGCTCTGCTGGTAGAGGGGAAGACTGTAGGGTTGCTGGGGCTCCTGGTAGTAGTACTGGGGCATGGAGCCCAGCTGAATCAGCTGGACAGCGTGCGCCTGCTCCGGGGTGTACTGGTGAAGGTCCCTGTGATAAGATGGGGGCTGCAGGTGCATCTGTGGCTGCTGCTGCTCTTGCAAGTGCTGCATCATGGGTTGGGACTGATAATACTGAGGTATCTGCATTGAACTCTGCCGCTGCTGCAGTTGCAGCTGCTGCTGCTGTTGCTGCTGCTGCTGAGATGGTGGTGGGCGAATCTGTTGCTGCTGCGGCTGTATTTCTTGCATGGAGATACGCTGCGGCCCAGCTTGCTGCTGTTGCTGCTGCGGGTAATACTGGTGTTGCTGCATCTGTTGTATGTGCTGTGACAGCATCTGTGGGGCCTGCAGCGACTGTCCTCCCTGCACTGGCATCTGAGCCAGTGGCTGCTGGTAGTCATAATACAGGTGCCCCTGGGTAGCGTGCTGCCCAATTTGAATGGCTGGTTTGGACAGCCCACCAGTGAAACCAGGGTGCGGCTGCTGGGGCACCTGCTGGTAGCGGGAAGGTACAGCCGGTGCTGGAGGCTCCATGGGCTTCTGAGACAGCAGCTGGCGGAGGGCACTGTCAGGGGCTCCATCCATCACTGCTGATTGGGTGTGCAGCACTTGAGCCATATTGTTGACCTGAATTCGCAGGTTTTGGTTGGCGAACACCTGGGTGAAAGAGTCCAGCTTGTGTAAGACACCACTGGTGAGCTTCTGAGTCCGGATCTCACTGGCCTGGGAGTAGGTGTACTGGTAGCTATCGGTGGGCTCAGCCTGGGCTGGTGCCCCCCACATCATGTTTGAGTTGGCCAGGTTGCCACGTAGCTGGACATGGTTCCCAGGCCCTGAATGGCCTCCCCACCCTCCCTGCCTCAAAGTATCCACTTGGCCAAGGTTTTTGGAGCCAACAGGCAAGCCCAGACCATCCCGTGTATCTTGAGGGAAGTGAGGAGAGATGGGTGAGGCCTGAGGGGCATCCATTCCACCCCCTGTGACTGTATTCCCATAGTTGTGGTTCAGCCCACCGTGGATGCCAAGTGGTGGCTGTTGGTAGAAAAGGTTCTCACTACCATGGGCCACATGGTTGGTTTTGTACAGCTGCTGATCCCCCATGGTGTCTGCCTTGATTGTGAATGTCCAGCCACAAAACCATAAAAAAAGGTTAACGAAACAAACCCCAAAGGACTGAAACCCTGAGAAGCTGAAAGAAAGTGTCCACACTACTCCACGGCTGACATGTCTGTGAAGGTGGCTGGAGCCAGGTGTTCCTGTTGGCCTGCACCATTCATGTGCAGAGTGAGCGGTTTTACATCCTCACCAGGGTTGAGGTACTGATCAAACACCACCGTGGTAAGGAGAAGCTGTTCACACCTGCAAGACAAGATGCAAAGGACAGGAAAGGATTTATTTGGATGTTCTGTGAAGGTAATTCTATCTACTTGACCAGGTATAAAAATAAACATAAATAGGAGACTCAATCAGAAATAGCCAAAGTAATACACCCCACACCTCTACACTGATTCTGCAGATCTTGACTCGCACATGAGATGCAAACTCTCTTACTTTCAAGCCTTTGTTCAATGGCTCATTAGTTAATTGATTTGTTAATTCATTGTTTTTCTCATTGATTAGTTCATCCATTCTTCCGGCACCCTGCTATTGAAAGCCCAGCACTATTCTAGGACCCGTAGGGAGTACAAAGAAGTTTAAGACATACATTAATCAATTTATTTGTTCAACAAATATTTATTAGACACCCATTAAAGGAAAGGCACAATGCTAGGAAACAATTAAAGAAGTTTAAGACATACATTAATCAATTTATTTGTTCAACAAATATTTATTAGACACCCACTAAAGGAAAGGCACAATGCTAGGAAACAAAGACATGGGGCCTAAAGAGCATATAGTTAGAAAAGGTGATGAGTCACATGAATGAATACTATACAAAGGGGAAAGAGATGCATGTAATAAAAAGGTAACAATAAGATGGGAATTCAGAAACTGCAGAGCTCATTTTTAGCAAAAGAACAGAACTGGCAGTTTCAAGGAGGAGTACTGCACATGTTAGTTTGCCTGTCAGGACAACCGTCACCTGCTTCTTTGTGGTTCCTGCTCAGGGAAACAACTGTGCATGGGGGTAATTGTCTGGCCAGAGCTTATGACATGATTTGGCGCAAAACAGTTGGCTGGGCCAATCAGATTCCACTTTTAGAAATATGAACTATTTTCTGTTTGTTTGTTTCTGTTTTTTTGGTTTGGTTCATAGACTAACTCTAAAGACAATTTCCAAGAAAGAATTCTAGAAATGCTTTGAGCAATGTTAATGATTATTTGTCTCTCAATGTTTTACAATTTAGAGGCATGGCCCTGATCTGAATGTTTCGGATGTGGATTGTTATAAAGTTAAATCATACAACTTATCTTATGGTTATAACATTTACATGTATATTTTAAAAACTGAAACCAATAAAAATTATGCTGAGAAAAAAAAAAAAAGAAATAAGAACTAGGAAGTTTGGAGAGAATGGTGTGGTCAAGTTTGAGTCCGTTCAGGTTCTGGGGTATGAACTCCTGAAAACACACAAGGACTTTCTAAGCACTGTACACGCACGCAAAGTTTTAAGAGATTCAATTCCCAGATCCTCAACTCTTTTCTAGAACTGATGAGTGACAGAGGTGCAAGATGTCCTTTTGCACCTGCTCTTTCATAATCACCCCCCTCCTTTAGAAAAAGAAAGGCAAACCTCTCACCCATTCCATCCCAAATCTTAACTGGGTTTACTGCCACATAGAGAACCTCCCTTCCACACCCCACCTCCCCAGCCACCACATAAGAGGACACTTAGAAAATTGAGAAAGCAAGCTAGTGAGTAGTAAATCTTTTCTTTCTAATTTTTTTTTTGGGGGGGGGTAAGTAGAGTGGTTTATTTTTTTGTTTTTCCTAAGTTTTATTTCAGAAAGTTATTTTTTCTACCTTTTTGAAAATTGAAACATAAATTGTGCATATCTGTGGGGTACAGAGTTGAATATCAATACCTGTGTGCAATATGTGATGTTCAAATTGGGATGATAGGATGGCTTCTAATTTTTTTTTTTTTAATTAGAAAGGCCTAATAGAAATAATTAAAATGTAATTTTTTGTGATAGATCACTATGTAATTTTTGGTATATAACTCAGAAGCAGATCAAAGAATCAAGTGACCCCACTTGAACAAAACTTGTGCTCCTATCTATTGGTTCATGGAATGAGGGTTTTCAGTGCTTACATGTATCTAAATGGAAAATGGAAATATAATTGATGCTGATACTTATCTCGTGTTAGCAATAAATCATATTCTTACATGGGCAAGTAAATAAATTGAAGAAATAGCCCAGCACCAGCAATATTTTATTTCTGGACCTGGGTGATAACTGCATGGGAATGCTCGCTCTGTAATCATTCAAGCTATACGCTAACCTTGTCATGTACATCAATAAAAAAGATTATTTCAAAAAGTCATCCAGCACCACCAACTCATAAAGACATGCATTTTCAGTATAATTTTACTTTTTATATTTATTAATTATTTACCCAAATTAATAATACATTCATGTTGTTTTGATCAGTTATGTATTATTAATAACTGTAATGATAATTCAAACCAGAAGAAAATTTTAATACTTAGAACTTTATGATTTCAGGAAATTTAAGAAGTTTCAACTTTATACAAAATTGTTAAAATTGTTACAGAGAAATATCCCGCGCCTCGCTCAGCCAGTGAGCGGGAACCGGTCTGTATGTGGGATCCGAACCCTCGGGCGGGAGCGCCGCCGCGCTTCCCAAGCGGCGAACTATCCAGTGCGCCACCGGGCCGGCCAGAAACAAATGAGTTTTAAGCACAAAAATGTATTACATATATTACATTAGGATAAAATTCCATGGAGGAATTAAAATAGAAATAAAATTTCAAGAAAAAAAGGAACACTGACTATTAAAGAAGAGCATGTTCATGCATTTTTTAAATGAATGATGGTGTGTATCAAATTGCTATGGTGTTTAGATTCCACTTGTTAAATTTAAAACAGTGATGTAATAGTTTTACTTAAAATACCAGTGTTTACAATACACTGGAAATTGCATCTTCTGCAAATGTATGATAAAAATGTAGATGTAAACAAAAATGTGTGAAAGGTAAAGAGTTTTACAACATTCTTTTAGGGAGGATTTTAAGCAGAAAAGTTTAAAGACCACTGTAGTCATCCCCCTCCACCTAGGAGTGGGCTGAGTTGGTTTCTATCCTTTTCTTAACTACAGGAGAAAGAGGTAGAGAAATTAGAGTGAGGGGTGTGGTTTGGTGGGATGAAGGATAGATGAAGGAAGCAGAGGGAAGACACAAGACTGTCCAGAGATGGCTGGAGCCATGAAAGGCCACTGCAGGCTTCTGAGCAGAGACATGAGGAGGCTGGGCCGGGAGGGGGCTGAGCTCGGAAGCAGGGAGACCAATTCCCTTTGATGCTCGGTAGGCGTTCAGCATCACCTAGGAACTGGCTAGAAATGCAGAATCTCAGGTTCCAGCCCAGATCTGCTGAATCAGAATCTGCATTTTAATGAGATGACTCTCACCCCCAAGTGATTCACAAGTACATTAAAGTTTGAGAAGCAGTAGATTAGCAGGCTCTTGCTGCATCCAGGTGAGACACAATTAAGACCTGAACCCAGATACCCATGAGCAGGGAGAGAGGGAGAAATGAGAGAAACATCCCACATGCTGCCAATGGAAAGTGACTCTTCTTCCTTGAAATGCTCTGCCCTTCAGGGGCTTATGACCCAGTCTGGGAAACACTCCCTTCTTTCCTCACACATACCCTCTCCCATGACAGCCTCATCTACCACCAATCCCTCGCTGACTCCTGATGACTACCCCCAGCTCAGATGGCCTGAGTTCCTGATCAGTTGCCTATTCCACATCACTACTTCCATGTTCAAAGGCATCTCAACATCATATCCCCCACACTGGATGCTATTTCAGAGAGCTCTTTCCTTGAACCTACCATGCTCCCTTCTATCACAGGATCTTTGCACATACCGTCCCCACCATATGGAGAGCTCCTCCCCTCCCCACCGCCTCTTCATCTAGCCAAGTACTAGGTATCCTTCGGATCTCAGCTTAAACTACACATTCTCAAAGAGTCCACCCTGACCCCAACCCCCAAGTGTACATCAGATTCCTTTCTTATATGTTCTCATAAAACCATGTTCCTTTGCCTTTGACTCTTCCCTCCTCCTTAACCAATCACCACATCCTATATGTTTACTTCCTGATACTTTCTTAACTCCATCTATTTTTCTCCATTTCCACTTCTATCACCCTAGTGCAAGACACTACATCTGTCTTCTGGACTATTCCAGCAGCCTTCCCACTTGCTTCCCTGCTTCCACTCTTGTCCATTCTCCAGACAGCAGCAGCAGAATTATGATCCCATCTTTCTATTGCTTAAAACCTTTGATGGCATCCTAGTGCTGTTAGGTTAAAAATGAAAATAATTAACAAGGTCGTCAGGGCTCTGCACAGTCTGTCCCCAGCCTCACACTGCAACCTTCTCCTCCTTGCTCTTTACTCCCCCCTTCTCATCCACCCCACCGCAGTCATCTGGTCTTCTCTCAGTTCCTCGAACCTGCCATTCTCCCTCCCACTACTGGACCTTTGCATGTGCTGTTCCCCCACTTGGAAAGCTCTTCTCCCCACCAGTCCATCTTCATCTAGCCAAGTATTGTCATTTTTTAGATCTTAGCTCAAAGAACGCTTTCTCACAAAGTCCACCCTGACCTCAACTCCCAAGTCTACATCAGGTTCCTTTCTTATACATTCTCATAAAACCATATTCCTTCCCCTTGGACCACTCTTCTGTTAGTAACTGTACTTCCGCCAGTGCAATTATTTGATTAATGAATCATTCTCTATTAGAGCAGGAACCAGGTCTATTTTTACCTATGATTCTATTCCTAAACCTACCGTAATGCCCAGCATGTCGTAGACCATCCAATAAAAACTTGTTGAAGGAAGGGCAATATTTGTCTTATAAATGAATCAACAAATGAGGAAAAATGAGATAACACTGTACAAGAAATT